TATGAAATAGCGAACACCTTTACATCACCAACCTTAAGTCTACAAAATTTTAGCGATCTGAAAATAGTTGTTAGCTCATGAGTATGATTTCTGTAGTATTTGCTTTAAGTTTGTATCTCTTGGTATCTTGATGGAACACTTCTAAAGTCACATAGATTATTGGTATTTTGGGTGAGATAACAGTTTCTAAAATTATGATTCTTGTAAAAATTAACTTACTCGACTTATATAAATAATCTTACTAAGATTACATTCCTAAATATTATGATTTTTTATACAGTTGAAATTATAAAAAAAATTAAGAGTCAAAATTTTAGTAAATTTAATGCCCTAAATATTGAATAATAATAATATAACAATAATTCAACGATGATTTTTTCCAAGACAGAAAAATCTACGTGAAGCCATCCTAAATCCTAAAAATCAACTACTTCAGGTCTACAAAATTTGTAGTAACATTTATTTAAGGTAAATATTAATTGGCTTTTTAAATATTTACTCAAGGTAAAATTTTAATCAATTTTAAAGTCCTAAATTTAAGGTATCGAGTTTAAAGAAGGAAATATTTAATAACTAAATCTCAACGAATTTTGCTAAGGACCTTCGTGCTTTTAATATAGTATAGATAATTTTCATCTCACTTCTTACCGCTGGACCACACTCTTGAGTGCAAGTCATTTTCTCGTCTATCTTGTGATCGGATCGCCTACTATCAAGTAGGTACTTCCAAATAAATATCGAAACTTAACAAAACATTTCCTAGTTTTCTCAAGGCATAAGGACATATTAGTGTTTAAGCGATGGGTAACTCATTCAGGTTAGAGTTTCAATAAGGGAAATCTACTCTAAATGCCTACTCAGGCAATTTTAATTACCCGTTACTACTCATTCTAATTTCTCTTACAATGTGTACCTATGCAATCTAAAGTATTTACCCAACTACCTATTTTCAAAATCCTTTCCTTTCTAATCCCGGATCACGTGAAATCCCATTAATTGCCCCAACCTATTTTTTCTTTTATTGTCTTCTCAAATATAAATAAACGTTTTTCTTCTATCTTTCTCATTTCATAATAGGATGTACTTGTCCATTGAATATTTTTTATTAAGTTACTCCATTTCAAAATGGTATATAGTATATTATTATAACATGTCTAAAATTTAGTATAATCGATGACGTACAAAATTGAGTTAATTAGATTATGTGACAACTGATATTATTTCAGTTTAATAATTGAATTAAAAAAAAAAATTAAACTCTTTGCATACAATTGTATACCCTGTTGGTATATTTATATATTATACTAGTATCATATGTTAGTTGGAACCTTTTTTTATTGTATTAGCTACATTTAATTGGTACACTGTTTGATTTTTCTTTAGTAATAGTAGAATAGTACAATATTTTGAATTTTTCTAATTTTAATTTATGCATATGTATTATGTAGTCATTTTGATTTTTTCTTTATGAATTTCTTTTATATAATAGTATTATAGTACAATATCTTGAAATATATTAATATTAATATGTGGTACGCTATTTTTTTTTATTTTTCTCTTTATGCATGTGTATTATGTAATAGTAGTATAGTCATATATAGTTGCGTGGAATAAATTAGTAGAACTGTATACCCTATTGGTATAATTATATGTCATATTGGTATCATATAGTAGTTGAAATATTTTTTGGTTGTTTAGCTACATTTTCAAGTGAATACTATTCTGAAATGATTTATATGATCATATTTTGTTGTGTTGGATTTTCTTGTACCTATGGACATAGATTTTGTGTATTATGTAATGATTTTTATAGTTATATGCAGTTGTTGGAACGACCCCGTACAACTATATACCCTATTAGTATAGCTATATACTATTTTGGTATCATATGTTAGTTGAATCCTTTTTTGATTTTATTAGCTGCATTTAATTGGTACACTATTTGATTTTCTTTTAATAATGGTAATATAGTACAATATCTTGAAAATCTTTAATTATATTAATATGTGGTACACTATATTGTTATTTTTCTCTTTATGCGTGTGTGTTATGTAATAGTAGTATAGTCATATAGTTGCCGAAAATTAACCCAGTAAAACTGTATACCATGTGTATAGTAATATGCCNTTTTTTTGGTTGTTTTAGCTGTATTTTTAAGTGAATTCTGTTCTGGAGTTATTTATATGAACATAATTTGCAGTGTTGGAATTTTTTTGTACCGATGGATATAGATTATGTGTATTATGTAATAATTTTATAGTTACAGGCAATTGTTGGAGCGACCCGATACAACTACATACCCTGTTAATATAGAGTAAGTTGCTTTGCGAATTTTAGCTTGCAATGCGAGCATGTAATTTTCTCATACTTTTATTGCATCCTTTAATGTTTTGGTACATTGATATAGTCGCAGATTGTTGTAACAATATTCTAGAGCAATCATATACTCTGTTGGTATACATGTATACCATATTGGTATCATATGGTACTAGAAGTCTTTTTTATTACATATACTTTAATTGCATTTTTAGTATTTTATTATCATTTCTATTCTAACTAGTATATATGGAGATTTGGTGGTTGTAGATTGTGTTTTCTTGTTCCATAACTAGTTGTATTACTGCTAATGGTAGAGTGTGTACTCATATTTTTTGGGAAGGAGATCAAGGTTTGCATGGCAATCACATATTGATTCTTAGAAGCTGATTATGTAATTTATGGTGCTTAGCAGTAGTCAGCGTGATATTCAGTGAATTAGATCAAGTGACAACTGATATTATTTCAGTTTAATAATTGAATTAAAAAATGAGAAAAAAGACAAAAGGTATATTATACTAGTTATATTTAAAAAAGGTGAACAAATATTTACTATATCAGTTATTTTTTCTAATTGTATAAAAAAAAGAATAATAAAAAATAGTGAAAACAGAAAATAAAATTAGATTATGAAGAGAAAAAAAAATATTAAAAAAAGAAGTTAAATGAAATTAGAAAAGAAACAAGAAATAAAGAAAATAAAAGAAAAAAGGAGTTAAATAGAATTAGAAAAGGAACAAGAAATAAAGAAAATAAAAAATAAAGGAGTCAAAATTGAGTGCGAAATAAGTTATGGTAAAAATAACAATAATACGATTTGGGCAAAAATAAATGAATAGGAAAAGAGAAAAAACGAAAAAAAGAAGAAGAAAACGAAAAAAAAAAGGAGAAAAAAAGAAAAAAAAAAAAAGAAGCATAGAAATAAAAAAGAATTTGAGAAAAAAGAGAAAAATCCCATAAAAACTACTATGGGTAGGAAATGTAATTAGTTTGATGGGTAGAAAAACAAATGGATAAATAAAGGTAAATAATTTTATTTTTGTAGGTAACTGTATCATTCACCCTTTCAATAATATGAGAAGCGAAAACGACTCAAATAAGGTCCCACACATAATGAATGTCTTTTCTCTTTTTACAGGATACGTAGTGAATGTCACCATATCAATATTATAGTTTGAACTCTGAGCTCTGAAATGGAATAAGAAAGTTGGTGTACTAATTAATTCGCATGTTAGTCCTCACATGGGATAGCAGTATTCTTATATTCTTTCTTTGGGGCAGCTCGGGAACAATTTCAGCACTACCATTATAAGAATGTCATCTCCTTCAATGTTTATTAAAATGACGTAGTTGACGTACCAATGTTATTTTTTCTTTGTTTAAGGTACATTAATACAATCACATAAAGTATTGTATTTTCCATTAAGCTGCCATCAATGAAGTTCAAAAGCTTCGTTTGTACAAATTGAAAGATCCACGAACTATCATCCTAAGCTCTTCATTTTTTTCTTTTTTTGATAATGGTGTAAAGTCTTTCTACCATTCCTAAGCACTAAAGGGAAAAATTGGAATTCAAAAGAAACACAGAACACAATAAAAAGGATTAAAAAAAAAAAAAGGGGGGGGGGGGGGTAGGGAATGAGATTCCAAGATATGGCGGTCCTCGGCTACGAATAGGTTGTCTGGCTGATTGGGGAAACCTATGTGCTGCTCATAAATTACAAATGTCCATTGATCAAAGATAGATACCTATGAGGGATGAAGCATAGGCCATAGCCCGGCCTTACGAAAAAGCACTAAATTGGTGAAAATTAAAATGTACAGTAAAGTGTAATGTGTAGGCAGACCTTACCCGTATCTTGTGTTGGTAGAGAGGCTGCTAGATAGACCCCCAGCTCAGGCCAACATAGTAGGAGACGAGGAAGAGAGAAGAAAAAACTTTACCTATTAGCCACCTGGCAATAACTTTCCGACACCTCACCTGAAGCTTGTACCTATTAGCCACCTGAACTCGTTATATAATGTACCTATTGAACCCTTCAAAAAGAAAAAGGAGAAAGAAGAAGAGAAAGGGCAGGGTGGTTTTGTTATGGCTGTAGTGGAGAGCGGGGAGGTGCAGGTGTTCCTAATGGTGGATACGAAGGTGGAGCTTGTGAAGGCAGTGTCTATGGTGGATATGGTGGTCATGGGACGGTGGAGGTGGATATGGTGTTCATTGGTTGCACTGGTGGAGGTGGCCACAGGACATTGGTGGAAGTGGATATGGTGGTGATTAGGAGACGAGGAAAAAAACAACAAAAAATCAGTGGAATCCCACAAGTGGGGTATGTAAAGGGTAATGTATACGGAGACCTTACCCGTATCTTGTGCCGGTAGAGAGCTGCTTCTGATAGACTCCCGGTTCAGGCCAACATAGTAGGAGACGAGGAAGAGAGAAGAAAAAACTTTAAAATCATGTGAGCTACATACGCTCTTAAGGGAAGTGTGAAACGCGCAATGCGCCAAGTCAATAGTGCGTTTGCAATAGGCACATTTTAACCTAACATAGGTACAAGTCTGAGTATGGAGTTTCTAAGTTAAAATTGTTGCTAGGTTATGGGGCTGTCTATGTATTACCCTATATAGTCACGACTTAAAACTGAATTTTGTGAACCAAACAAAATTTCCAGACTGAAAATGTGATAATAGGATAAACATAGAGCCGTCACTCCCTGTTTTCTTTGGCAGTAACAGACAAGCTGCCATTCGATAATAAGACAACTATGAGATAGATCCACATGCCCGTGACAGACCAAGAGCACAAGACCCTTGTTGGAGGGTGGCACATGGGTGTCTTTTGGAACATAGGGATCTCTCGCCATCAAGTACCACCAGAATTGGACACAACTAATTTACTGCTATTTACAAGGATAAGGTTCCTATTATCTCTACTTTGATTCTACGTAGTGCAATTTGAGATTACTATATTCAACTAAAAGCCGTACACTGTAAGAATGTAGTTCTCACATCATAGGGACAATCCAGCCCTTTGACTCTTCTAGCAAAACTTCATCCAGAGAGGAAATGCGCCTGATGTGGATATACCATCATTTGGCCGCTGTACAGTTCAAGCACTTATTGTTACATGATCGAAAGGTCGTTCATTCCCTTTTTCACTAATCTGCAGACTCATAAAAGCTAGTATTAAAAAGGGAAACAAGGTAGCCACGCAGCTTTGGATTTAGCCCGCTATTCAAATATTTGACTTTTGCACCAGAATATCATCAGGACCTTCTCTAGAGCCTAAAATTTAAATAAGAAATGGACATTCAAAGGTCTTACAACAATGTATATATATAACAGGTATAAATCCTAATCATAGAAAGATAAAGGATCAGTTTCAAAACAAAACGAAAACAGCAGCTTAGGAACACAAACCTATTGTTGCTTGGCCCTCTTCCTTGCCAAATAGCGTTCCTTAGCTGCAGAGACAGCATCCTGATTTCTTTTATGATGGTCAACTTTTGGTTGATCACTCGCAGCAGATTCAGTGACAGCAGTTAGTCCATTGTCTGAAGCGGGTTTTACAGCCCCCTCTTCAGACAAACCATCTGAATGAGGCTTGATATCCGCCCGATCAGTCCTTTCTTTACGAGGAGGAGAAGCGGAAGCTTCATGATCTTGCCTCTTTATCTCTCCAGACATGTCTGAATGTGCATTTGCTGATGACGAAGGCTTTTCCTCTGGCCGAACTGCTTCCTGTTCATGATGATTCTCAGCCTTCTTGGACTTGCCCTCTCCTCCAAAGGCAACATTTTTTTGAAGATTGAAGTAAAAGTCACTGATGTCAGCTTTCTTTGTAACCTGTCAATATATTTAACAGTATTAGAACATAAATGATCTATGTCCTGATAGGTGTGACTTTCAGATCAAATAGAAGAATTAATGCATGCAACAGACAGCCATAGCTTCTATTTATTTGTTACTTACTGAATAACAATGTTAACTGATGTACCATTTCGGGAAAAAAATGATGTACCATTTCATTTTAGTGGTGATTATTTCTAGTGAACTGTTCTGTGTTAAACCATCATGTCTAAGCAAGATCAAAGCTTTAAAATAAGCATTAATAGCCGTTGTTATAGTTTCAGATTTTCCTTTTGACATCATTAGTAGCCGGGTGGCTTCAGTACTTTTAGTTGGAGCTATTACACTCAGTTGAAACTGTGAGGAATTTGAGAAATAAATGCTTTAGTATGTAAAGCAAAATTTTCAGTATTTGTTAAATTTTACTAATGCTTAGTTTGTCAAAATTGGAACTTCTGAAACTGCTTTTTTGACATACAATTCAGGTACTAGTTTAATAAGACAAATAGCCCCACTATCAAATGTAAGTGAAATTATATCTTGAAGATTCTGCTAATTTAACTTTAAAAAATGCTTCGTTAAACTTTTGTACCCATACTTTTTGAAGTGCTAATATAAAATCTGTTTATTTAAGAACTAGCCATAAACGTACTCCTCTAAAAAGCTAACACGCTATGAACATCAGGGCCTTAATAAAATTGAGAAGGTAATCTCTACCATTCAGTTCTTTTTCCTTTGTAAAGTTTTCATATTCTATCCAAAGAAACGTTATCAGATTACATGAGGCAAAAACTTTTAAAATGAGCTTTACAGAAAGATTTACCAGAAGATGACAACCATCAGTCTTTTCTGCAAACGTTAACTTAAGATCATGCTTAAACATGCTCTATCATCATGTGGATATCACACGAAAAGGGCATTGTTAGAAGTAAAATTAAATTTTGGAGACATTACGCATCAATGAAAGGCCATCTATAGTTTTCAAATTAATACCTAAAGACTTTGAAATTTCTCAACACGAAGCACTAAAATGGAACTAAGATATGCAAGCAAAGAACAAAAAAGATCCTGCAGATGTTACCCACTAGCAATCACAAGTAAATGAGAAAATTTCACTTACATCATCTCTCTCTTCTCGCAGTTCACGAAGACGCTCTTCCTCCAACCACTTAGCCTGCTCTTGAAGTTTCCTCTTGTAAGCAGCAGTTACAAACTTGTCCTTGTCTGCAAAGAGATGATCATCTTTACTCCTCTCTTTTGCAATTTTCCTCTCATAAATGATCTCATGCTCCCTTTCTCTTACTTTTGCCTTCTCCATTAGCATCTGGATATATTTTGGCTGGAAAAAAGAATAAAATTTCAGCAAAAGGTACAAAATTGCGGGAACAATTTTCATTTCTGTCGAGTAAAAACGGCAGATATTACTGTAGCCTCCCGTGCTCAAAAAGTTACACATGTTAAGATATTATTATAAAGGAAAAAGTAAATAAAGAAAGAAAGTAACACCAATAACAATAAAATATAACTCTAGTTTTAGAGGAAAAAGTTTGAGAGAAAGAAATTACAGTCTATATTAGAAAGGACCTTCAGCGACAAGACAATGCAACCAGACAAAAGCAGAAAAGATTGAATAGATTAGTATAACCCCTGGGAAAAGAAGAACTCCCTCCAATTTTTTTCTCGCACAATTTATCTATCAAGAGATTTTTCTTGCAAAATTTTAGTTCCTCAAATGTGAGAAATTTTTTACCTAGGTATAAAAAAGCAGTTAAAGAAGTAGCTTACCAAGTCCTTCGGTAAAGAATAACAAAACAAAGGAGGTAACCTCAAAAAGTAACACTTAACAGAATCTTTTCATATTTTATTTAACTCGCAAAACACTCCTAATCCTAGTATCTTACTGCCTAAGCCACTATAACATGTCATGAGTTTAAGGTTCTAGAGGTAAACCAGGATATATTTTTGGAAGGCTTCAAGTCGTGTTAACGTGAAAAAGTAAAATCTTTTGAGATGGAACATGAAAAAGCAAGATCTCAAATCCAGTTTCAGTTATAGTCTACCACAATGAAAATACTGCACAAACTAATTCAACCAAGTGATTCCAGCTGAACAAAATAAATGATGGCCTCTCAAAACATTACTAACTAGATACAGAATCAATTTCCCATAAGGGACTTGGATATTCGTGGTAAATTCATCAGATAGGAAAAGTGATGAACAGATAATCAGTTAATGATCTCTTTATTTGTCAGATATTCTCAACCAAAATTTGAGTCTGGTATGGCATATAGTTCAAAGATAAGTCATATATATAAATTTGAAACTTACTTGCTTCTTTGAAAAGATTCGCAATGCAAGCTGACAAGGAAACCACTCTAATTGGGAATTTCCCATGTAGGTTAAGAGGTACCTATTCGATAAAGGAATATGATATTTTTCTAGAAGACAGTATATAAAACAGGAGAAAGTCTTGCGGAACGACATGAGCAACACCCAGCTAAAATGTCTGTTAGCCTACTTAGTGTTTGATACACGATCTGCTTTGTGAATTGAATCCTATTTAACAACATGGCTTCATTGCTCCACCATTACACAAGCATTTCACTTGGCAATATAACAAGGAAGAAAGCTTTCCCGTGGAAAACAAATTCTACAAAAGTAACTACTTTCACATGGTTTCACAATTAATTGCAAAAACAATCATGAGTTTTACTCTCCAAATGCTTAAGCAAAGAGTATCTGCTCCAAACTTCTGAGTCGTCCATTTGTTTTATTTCATCAAATTATATTGGACATCTGGAAAAAAAAAAACAAAGAGCAAAAAGTGGAACTCAAAACAATACCCTCCTCTCCTCGCGATCCTGAGCTCGAGGTTGGACAGCCTTCATTTTCATATCATCATATACGCCATCATAATCAAATACTGAAGGGTCCTCTTCTAATGCCTTCTTATGCTGTTCTTCAATCTGCCAAAAAAAACCAGAAAACAAATACAATCAATGGAAATTACAACGCTAATCACTTCCCCTTCTGGAGTCATGCATCTTTTTTCTTTCTTTCTTCTTTTTTGGGGGTTAAACAAAAGGATTTAAGTTATATACGCTACACGTAAAGATATTTTACACTATAAGTAAAGTTAATCTCTGATACAGGTTAATTTACCATTTTTATCAGGGTGTCAGGTAATCAAAAAGATTTACCGGTAATTACCTTGTAAGTGACCTGAGTGCACAAAACTTAAGCTCTAAACTAAATCAGTTAAAAAAGGATTTCAAAAAATAAGGTAAAACAAATGTGAAAATAGTGAGATAGAGCAAAAAATCTTACATCTTTGAGAGCCTTATTCTTGGAGGCATGGCGAGAAATTTCTTTTTCCACGTCATCATCATCATCTCCGAAACCAAGTGCTGCTGTAGGAAGCGGAGGCCTTGTGGAGCCCCCCGGTTTCTTCTTCTGCTGTGATGGTGGAACTCTTAGTTGTAACCCATATCCCGACTTCCTCATCATCCTTACAACTAAATGCACATAAATTTGAATAAATTACAATACAGAAATTAGAAATTTCTATGTATTAGGGTTTGTATAATTACTTACTGGTCTTTTGAATTGCAGCTGGTTTTATCAAACCCTGGAACTTTCTGGAAAAGTTCTCTTCTCGATTGGCAATAGTCGGGAAATTAGAACTGTCGGAAGAAGGCGGACCAGTGCGGGAAAAGGCGGTAGCCGGCGGCGGGAGAAATAGGGGAATGGGTTACCGGCAGCGATTGAAAACTGGACCGGGAAGATCCAATGAGATCACCGGTTTTCTTTAAAAGGAACTGAATTTTCCAGAGATATTACTCCAAGTCGTATTTAAGTAAGGTACCGTTTAGCCATATATTCCCAAATTTACTTTGAAAAAAGCAATTTGGGTTAAGTTTGATTTGTAGATGAAAATATGTTTGGATATAGTTTTCAAAATATATTTTCCAAATTTATTTTAAAAAAATATGAAATATGATTTATACCCATAAGTTTTAAAAACTATCACAAATACCAACTGTACCATTATCAATAATAACATTCATTATATTATCGCAAACCATATAAATAAATTTAGTACAAAATTATTATTTTTATAATAAAATACATGATACACATAAGATGATTGACAAGACAAACAACATTGTTAGAAAATAATAAATAGTGGGCTCTTTTATAAAATACAAAAGTTTGAGGCTATTTTTAAAAAATGTAATAGTGATATTTTGGCCCAACACTAGCTATTGAGCTGGTTTTGGGATTTGGGATTTCGGTTTTTGGATTTTGCCCAAATGTAACTAAAATCTATGGCCAAACATGTGTTTGCAAAATAAAATCCAAATTTATTTTGGCAAAATCTATTGCCAAACGGGTCCTAAATCCTTAATGGTGCGTTGAATAAAATAGATAGGGTAATTGACACAAATGGGACTTTTCGGGGTGTAGTCTTAGCGGAATATTCCTAAAATTGACGGTAGTTAACAATGATCTCGTACTCGCACAAGTTCTTCAGCTATTTTTACTCCGGATTAAATTGTTTATCGAAATCTACCGGATTGTCATGCTTCTGTTCTTCGGGGATTTTTCTACCGGGTCGGTATGTTGATGTTGTATTTTGTCTATCTATATATTAAGTTTGTTTACCCTAAAATCGGATAACAATTGAATTTATATGTGGTTTTAAGGATACGTGATATAACTTGATACAAATTAAGAGAATAGATTAATATTGAAATAGACAATAAAAGAATAAATGCAAACACACGAATCGAATAGCCTGGGCCCTCGAGTTCGATCACCCTTGAACCGAAGATGTTTCAACTGACGTATGAACAGAGTAAACAAGATAATAAAAGCTAGAAAATGACAATATATTGCTTTATGTTGCGTAAATATGATGGTTTTACAAATGATCAGACCCCCTTTATATAGTAGGGGAGTCCTACTCTTCATACAGTTCTATATGAGGTAAGAAATCTCATGATTAGCTAATTAATCGGCCCATCCTTGATACGTGCCGAGATTTCTTCCGTGATATACAACCGATCGCGGATATCTCATCCTTTATTATTTGACTTGGCAAATTTTTCTCGATCTCGCCTGATCTCGATTTTGTTCGGTCCTGGGGTCGAACTTAACAATGTAACCTCGTACCTTGGTTCGGTATAATTCGAGGTCGAACCTTAACCTATCATATTCCAGTCTCGATTAATCACATAAGGGGCGATCCCGATTTTGACTGTATACAAAGTTGTTCATCGAAGTTTACCGAATTGGCATACCTTTCTGGGTTATATTAACAAAGTATTTTTCGAATTTGCATCTTCAATTTCGATCAAACAACCCTAAATCTACTTCAAATGATCTCAAATTTGAAACAAAGCTACCAAATACCAACACAAACAATCATCAATCGCCAATTTAGTCGAATAATATCAAATCTAAGGTCCAACAATGGAGTTTTGAGACTTTTACAGTAAATCACCAAAAATTGTGTTTGAACTAAAAGTTTAAGCACAAATTATCAACATTCAAACGATTTTAACAATAATTGACTGTTAACTTTCATTTTCCACCATCAAATAAGAATTTCAAGCTTTAAAATATAAAGAACTACGGTGCTCAAGTAAAAAAGGGGGACATTTTACTAAGATCATCAAAAAGAGAACATTCCGCCAAGACCATCCCCTTTGGAGTCATTCCGTGCTAATTTCTGAAATAAAAAAAAAGTCAAACACTTTTTAAAATACTACTCCTAGTATGTACTACTAAAATATGACTCCTTCCGTTCCAATTTATATCGCAATGCTCAGATTTTGAGTTTACATATTTTGAAATAAACTTTATATTTAAAAACTACACAAAAAGTACTATTAGTCATAATATTTAACAATTCAAAATATTTAAAAAGCATGAGAAAAAGTTATGGTCAAATTATAAAATAAAATATAAAAAAATAAAAACTCGTTTGACTCCTAAAATTTGAACGGTGCCACATAAACTGGGATGAAAAGAGTGTAAAGAAAATATTGTGCAGATATATTTACGAAAATTAAAAAGGGAAAAGAACAAAGAGTAACATAGTATATTTTGCATGAATTAGTTTTTAGCAAATTACCTATAGTGATTTGCAATGGAACTCTTTCTTGGAATAATACAATAAGTTCCGTCAGTTACAAACTTAAAACTTTTTAATTTTTTCAAGAATTAAAAATAGTCGAAATAAAATTAGCAACTTTAAGAATGAGTTGTGAATGCTGGAAAAAGTAAGCTATCTATATCTATATCTATCTATCTATCTATATCTATATCTATCTATCTATCTATCTATCTATCTATATTATTATAAAAGTACGAATAATTTATGCTAAATGTTGAACGACTAAAATATCCCCGAAATATTGATCGACTTTTATGCCCTTAAATATTTGTATAATTTAAGGATCTAATGGTAAATTACCTAATAATGGAATCCTTTTTTGATTGAACTATACGTATTCCCGACCCTACAACGTTAATCCTACTTGAATTAAAAAAGTGCGTCCATAATTTTCTTTCAAAGAATTGTTGTTCTTAATTATACTTCTTTTATAACAAGGAACGTACTAAAATAAAGGCACGTACTAAAAGAAAAAATTAGTACTACATTCTAAAAACATCTATAACATTTTACAAAGTTGAAAATTCTTACTATCCTTTAAAGTCTAAATTTTTATTTAGTTCATATAAAGCTAAAACAAAATTAAGTTAGTATCTTTTACCTAAATATTAGGAGCTACTACATAATTTAAATAAATTGAGTTATTTTTTAAAATATTAAATAATAAGAGAATAATTAATCAATAATTTTTTACAATATAAAATTTTATTTTATAGGATAAAACATAGGGGCAAGTTTGTATGAATATTTTTCTTTTACATGATAATAAAGTGGTTCTAATAATACAGATGAGGTTGGCCCTTTAAATTATTTATTCTTACTTCAGTACGACTAATTGATTCATTTACAAATTTTTCAAAGAAAATCGATTGATGTTAGATTAGGTTTTCTAGAACAAGTTCGTCCAAGTCTCCTATGTATTGAAGTTTAACAAATTTTCGTTAATTGGTTTATTTTCATTAGATGCTCATGTTCCATTAATTGTTTTCAATTCAAGATTTACATTAATTTATATTCAAATAAAAAAGCAAAATACTTTAGAATAATATTATTTATGTATTATGCGTGGTGATTGGTTAAAAACAATTAATCATGGACTTAATTTATAAAAATATGTGTATGATTAATATTTTATTGCTTTGAATATGATAAAGTAGTAATAATTTTCTCGGGTTATATCCGATAAAATTTAAATTCGACGTAACTTTATAAATAATAGATACAACCCTCACAAATATGTCAAAGTGCAATAATGAAAAAGTAATACTTTTTGGAGGTGATTCAAATATGACAACTATATGGTTTGAGATGGAGAAGTCAAAGTTAGAAGGAAACATACACCAAAAACGTCCTCTATACAAAAAGTATTAGATATGATACTACCACACTGAATATTTGTACACTATTAATAAGATATCGTTTAACTTAATTAAATTGATCATCTTTGTAGGTTAAGACGGTATTTTTGAACTCAAGTATTCTATTAATGTAATAACATTAATCTTTTGCATTTAAATGATTGCTGTATTTAGTTACTTTACAATGATCATATCATCTTGTAAATAAATTATTACTAAATTTAGTTAGTTGTTCTTTCACATAAAAGTTCTTACTAAAGATTTACGTGCAACGCACGTACATAGTAACTAGTTATTATAGAAGTACGAATGTTAGAAAGTTAAATGTTAAGAAACTAAAATATTCTCGAAAAGTTGATCGACCTTTTTTTCCTTTAAAGTTAATATTTCCTTTATCTAGCAATTAATAATGGGTATAAATATAATTTTGGGTCAGGACTAAATAACCTTATTCTGTTTGGATTCGATTCATTCTAAAATATAAAGTTTCCTTGCAAAGAAACAACTCCATAATTGGATAAAATTATAATATTTAAAATTANGAAATTCCAATATTTAAGATATTAAAATCAACTAAAATTTTCCTTTTATAATTCAAAATCCTAATATTTAGGACCAAATATAAGAACTAATTTTGACATTGAAATACGTTTTAGGAATTCAAATTTCAAAGTATTAATGTCTCACCACTAAGCATTAATGTGACGACCCAAAGGGTCATCACCTATTTAAATAAATTCTGTGCTTCCGAGGCCTTGAAAACCTCGTTTAGAGTCGCCTCGATTTGCGTGCGCAGTCCGGGCGCGTAGCCGGAAAGCTTAAATGTGAAAGTCTATGAAAAATACTAAATTTTGATGTTAAAATGAATAAATTTGACCTTGGTCAACCTTTTGGGTAAACGGACCCGGACCCGTGAATTGATGGTCCCGAAGGGTCCGTAGAAAAATATGGGACTTGGGCGCATGCCCGGAATCCAATTCCGAGGTCCCAAGCCCGAGAAATGAATTTTTTTGTAAAATTGTTTTCTGAAATTGTTTAAGGAAATTGGAAATAAAATTTGATTAGAAAGCGATGGTATCGGGCCCGTATTTTGGTTCCGGCGCCCGGTACAGGTCTTATATGTGTTTTAAGTCCTTCCTGTGAAATTTGGTTGAGAACGTATTCGGACTTAAATTGGAAAATTTGATGTTTTATGAAGCTTGAAAGAATTCATGGATTTTGAGGTTTAATTCGATGTTTATGATATTATTTTGGCGATTTGATCGCGCGAATAAGTCCGAAGGATGTTTATGAGGTTGT